AAAACAAAACAAAAAGCACAAAAATGTAGCCAAGCGTGGTGGCACTACTCAGAGGCGGAGGCAGGAGAACCGCTTGATCCTGCAAGGTGGCAGTGCAGTGAGCCTGGATGGCACCACTGCACTCCAGCCTGGGCGACAGAGCCAGATACTGTCTCAAACGAAAAAAAAAAAGGAAAAGAAAGAAAAGAAAATGATTCCATTAATAATAGCATAAAAAAGAAAACAAGTACTTAGGAATACATTAACCATTGAGGTACACAACTCATACCCTGAAAACTACAAAACATGGCTGAAAGAAATCACAGAAGCTGGGCACAGTGGCTCATGTCCTGTTGTCTGAACACTTTGGGAGGCCAGGGCAGGTGGATCGCTTGAGCCCAGAGGTTAGAGAACAGTCTGGGCAACATGGCAAAACCCCATCTTCACGAAACATACAACATTCAGTGGTGCATGGTGGCGCACGCCTGTAGTCCCAGCTACTTGGGAGGCTGAAGTGGGAGGATTGCTCGAACCTGAGGCTGCAATGAGTGCGGATCAGGCCACTGCACACCAGCCTGAGCAATGAGTGAGGCCCTGTCTCAAAAAGAAGAAAATTAAGGAAAAAGACCTAAATAAATGAAAAAATAGAAAGATCCTGAGCTCCTGGATTAAAGGACTTAATATTGTTAAGGAGGCGATACTCCCCAAGGCAGCCTACAGAATTAATGCAATTCCCATGAAAATCCCAACGGCCTTTTTTTTTTTTTTTTNAAAAAAAATCCTAATAATAACAAAAGATAGAAATTGCAGACAAGACAATGACCTTTGCCAATAATATTTTGACGATTTTTTTTCTATTCAGCAACAAAACAAGTGGCTGCTTTATATGCAGAGATTGAGCCACACTTTCCTGGAAATGCTGGAATAGAAGTATATGAGCACAATGCAAGAATATTTTAGACTCAATTTATTAATTGAGAGGAAGATTTGTATAGATAGTTATAAGATCTTCTTGAACTCATTAGGTCCATGAGTTCAGAGAAACTGTTGGGTTCCATAAGTAATTAAAGTGACTCATTAGTTCAGTCAACCAACACTCAATTCAGTGAAAATTAAATTCATTTTAATTTTTTGATTGAATTTTGTACTACTGCTCAATGAACCCTCTAATTCACCGAGAAAGAAAGCAAAACAAAACAACAAAGCCTCAGACAAAATTGCAAATTTCCTTTTGCTCTTTGCTTACTATTTTACTTACATCTGTATTTTCACATGTTCTTTTTTATTTCTTTCTTTTCTCTGTGTATGTGTTATTCCTTCTTGAACAAAATACGCAAAATATGCTATTTTTGTTCTGGCTCTGACTTCTGTCTTCACTACTGGCTCTTTTGTTTAGTCAGCATCATCGTGTTCTTCCTCTTTGTTGGTTCTTCCCTTCAGCATGTTGACGTATTCAATTCTTTCTCAACTCTGAAATTCTCCTAAACCATATATCTTCTCTTGCATTTCCTTAAATAGTTCCTTTTTATTTAAAGATCAAGTTCTTTTTGGTCTGTTTGTTTTACAGACGGAGTCTCGCTGTGTCACCAGGCTGGAGTGCAGTGGTGTAATCTCTGCTCACTGTAACTTCCACTTTTTGTTTCAAGCGATTCTCCTGCCTCAACCTCCTGAGTAGCCAGGACTACAGGCACATGCCACCACACCCAGCTGACTTTTGTAATTTGAGTAGAGACAGGGTTTCACCATGTTGGCCAGGATGATCTCAATCTCTTAAAGGCCAAGTTCTTGAAAGAGAAATTTGTACTCCATCCATACTTTCTTCACCCCCACACATTCCTAAACCCACTGAAATATGGTTTCTACCTTTACCACTCTTCTAAGAAATGAACCTGTGTGGGTCCAAGATTCTTGCATATTCCTGTCTCAAAGCTCCCCAAGACGATCCATACATTCTGCAATTTACTAGAAAGACTTTCTGCACTAAGCATGTGGCTGTATTCCACATGGCTAACATTTATTATAACAGAGTAAGGGTCTACCAACAGATCAGTAAAGGAAAATGACACAAATGGAATCTGGTAGAATCCATGCTCTGGGTTTCTGTGTTCTCCACTTTCCAGAAGTCACATAGAGCACACTCTTCCTCCAGCAGTGACAGTGCAGCCACACATGTGCAGCATTTATGTCCAGGGAAGCCCAATTGAGACTCAGAGTTTAGGATTTCTATTTGGGTCTGCTGGAGTAGGCATTCTCTGCCTAGAAACTACCAGAATTCCACATTCAAGAAGGAAATCAAGTATTAACTGTTGGCACTTTTTTTTTTTTTTTTTTTTTTTTTTTTTTTTTTGCACAAATGGAAAAACCGCTTCTAAAATTTATATAGCGTTGAAAGGGACCCCAAATAGCCAAAACAGTCTCTTTTTCCTGCCCCCCACAAACAATCTGGAATCTTAAACAAAGTTGGAAAACTTACTCTTCCCAATTTCAAAACATACCACAAAGCTACAACAATCAGAATAGTGTATTATTGATGACGGGACATACAGACCAATGGACTGGAATTGAGAGTCCAGAAATAAACCTACATATCTATGGCCAATTGATTTTCAACAAGGGTGCTAAGACCATTTGATGGGAAAAAGAACAGTTTTTTCAATAGAAGGTACTGGAATTTCCATATGCAAAAGAATGTGGTTAGATTCCTACCTCATACCTTACACAAATATTAGGTCAGACACTTCAAAGTACAGATGAACTATTACGTTCTTAGAAGAAAACATAGATGTGAATCTTTGTGACCTTAGGTTAGCGATTTCTTGCTTCAGTATGACATCTAAATAAGTTGGATTTCACTTATTAATACACAAATTAAAAAATTTTATGTATCAAAGGACATCTCAGGAAAATGAAAAAACCTACAAGATGAGAGAGAACTATTCACCAATTATACCTCTGATGTGTGCCCAGTATCCAGAATATATAAAGAACACTCACAATTCAGCAACAAAAACACAAAGAATTCAATTTAAAAATGAGCAAAGGTCTTGACTAAACATTTCAAAGAAGGTCTAAAAATGGCCCCAAAGCCCATGAAACAGTGCTTGGTGTCATCAGTCATCCGGGAAGCACAAACTGAAATCAGGAGGTTCAACGTCATGCTCGAGGTTGGCTAGAAGTGAAAAATACAACCCCAGAAAACAGTGTGTCAGTGAGGATGTGGAGAAGCCCGAGCCCTCAGACAAAGCTGGCAGGAACACGAAATGGCACAGCCGCTGCGGAAAAGAGTGTGATGGTTCCAGCCCATTGCAGCATTCACCTCCCAGGTTCAAAGTGAAACAGAATTACCTTGTGGCCCAGCAATTCCACTCCTAGATACAGACACCAAAAGGTGTGAAAACAGGCGTTCAGACACACATATGTCCAAGAAGGCCACAGCAGCATTACTCACAGCAGCCAGAAGGTGGGGACCACACTCATGTGCATCTGCTGAAGAATGAATAAACTAGAGTGGACCATCCATGAATGGAATATTATTCAGCCAGGAACAGGCATAAGTGCTGAAGCTGTCTGCAGTACAGGCGAATCAACTGTCCACAGCTCAGTGAAAAAAGCCAGACGAAAAGGACAGGTATTTAGCAACGCCGTTTCTTAATCCCACAGAGTGGCTAAGTCCCAGGAGAGAAGGCAGGCGGGTGGGTGCCAGGGGCTATGGAGGGGAGAGGAACGGGAACGGCTGCTGAAAGGGGCACAGGTTTCCTTTTTGAGTGATGAGGGTATTTTGGAACTGGGCTGAGGTGATGGCTGCCAGCTCTGTGAGTATACCAAAAGCTACTGAGTTGAATACTTTAAAGTTGTGGACTTTCTGTTATGTGAATTTCACTTCAACTTTTTAAAAAACATGCCAATTTTGTAATCCTGTGTCTGTTCTGTCTCTCTCTGTGTCTCTCTGTCTCTCTGTGTCTGTCTCTCAGTTTCTCTCTGCATGTCTGTCTGTCTCTCTTTCTATTTCTGTGTCTCTCTGTGTCTCTGTCCCTCAGTTTCTCTCTGCGTGTCTCTGTGTCTATTTCTGTGTCTCTCTATCTCTCTCTCTGTCTCTCTGTCTCTCAGTTTCTCTCTGTGTCTCTCTCTGTCACTATTTCTGTGTCTCTGTCTCTCTCTGCCTCTTTGTGTCTCTGTCTCTCTATTCCTCTGTGTCTTTCTCCTTCAGTCTCTCTGTCCCTCAGTTTCTCTCTGAGTGTCTCTGTGTCTCTCTTTCTATTTCTGTGTCTCTCTGTCTCTCTCTCTGTCTCTCTGTCTCTCAGTTTCTCTCTGTGTCTCTCTCTGTCACTCTGTCTCTCTTTCTATTTCTGTGTCTCTCTGTCTCTCTTTGTCTCTCTATTTCTGTGTCTCTCTCTGTCACTGTCTGTCTTTCTATTTCTGTGTCTCTGTCTCTCTCTGCCTCTTTGTGTCTCTGTCTCTCTATTCCTCTGTGTCTTTCTCCTTCAGTCTCTCTGTCCCTCTCTGTCTCTCTCTCTGTGTTTGTCTGTCTCTGTGTGTGTGTCTTTCTCTCTCTGTCTTTCTCTGCATGGCCCTGTCTCTATCTTTCTCCATCTCTCTGTTCCTCTCTCTCTGTGTCTCTCTGTGTCTCTGTCTGTCTCTCTGTCTTTCTGTTGCTCTTTCTTCCCCAGGGTGTCCCCAAACTTCTCCCTTCTTGTGGGTCTTTAAGTTTGTGTATTTCCCCTGCAAGCCTGGCCTGTTCCCTGGCTCCTGGGAGCAGCCCCGCCGCTGGGGGTGGTGGAGTCACCCTAAGAACGCCCGATTTCCTCTCCAGGGAGCAGAAGGAGGAGGGGTACCTGAATGACCCCACAGGCTCAGTCCTGCTCCAGCCTCAGACCATCCTCCCCAAGGTAAGCAGGAAAGACCGCAGCGCCCGTGTGAGGCGCTGTTCCCTTTGTGCGCACAGACGAGAATGCCAGGGCGCACCGGGCAGGAGGCTCCGTCCCGTTCCGGACTCTCCTGCCCTCCCCGAGACCACCCCGTACCTTTGTCCAGCACGGGCCCAAAGATGGCCAGGCTGTCGTGGACGGTGGTGCAGTTCCACCGGCGGCCTCGGAACTGGTGCTGGCACTCCTGGATGCCGATCTTGATGCCCTCGGCCACGCTGGGCATGATCTCCACGTAGTTCCTGCAGAAGCGCAGCTGCTTGGGGACCAGGCCCGGGATGCTGGCACACAGGATGGGCTGCGAGCCCAGGGAGGAGTACTGCGGCCCGACTGCCAGCGACCTACAAGGGCAAGAGCCGGCGGTGAGTGTGGCGCCGGACGGCAGCACAGGCGAGCAGGCCCCAGGCCCGCTCGGGGGCTCCAGCGCGTTTGGGGGGCCAGACGCAGCTTTCATCATAAAGGAAATCTGATTGTTTTATTTTGCAAGTAAGAGAATTTTTACTTAAAATCCTGATTAGAGGCTGGGTGTGGTAGCCTGTAATCCCAGCTACGCGGGAGGCTGAGACAGGAGAATTGCTTGAACCTGGGAGGCGGAGGTTGCAATGAGTGGAGATCGCACCACTGCACTCCAGCCTGGGCAACAAGAGCAAAATTCTGACTCAAAAGAAAAATCCCTATTAAAGATCCTCTATGGCCTCTAAAATAATGTTTATAAACCATGCCTTCTAAATTTCTTTTGAGACAGGATCTCAGTCTGTTGCCCAGGCTGGAGTGCAATGGTGCGATCACGCTCCCTGCAGCCTCCAGATTTGCTGGGACTGCAGGGACACACCAGCATGGCCAGCTCACTTTCATTTTCACATTTTGCAGAGGCAAGGCCCTGCTATGCTGCCCAGGCTAGCCCCAAACTTCTGGCCTCAAGCGACTCTCCCGCCCGAACTTCCCAAAGTGCTGGGATGACAGGCACGAGCCCCTTGCCCAGCCCGTGAGCCTATATGTTATGACACAATGCTGTGTGCTGAACAAACACTCAATGCTGGCTATTTCATTTTTTTCTAGATGTTTTGATATCATCCATGTGTTTTTCTACATGTCTTATCTGGAAGTCTGATTTTATGAGGAGGCCAGGACCCTGCCCTGCCCTGTCCCCAACACTCAGCTCAGAATCCAAGCTGTCCAGATCTGCAACAGGAAGCAACACAGCCCGAGGTTCCTGCCCCGCACAGCTGCGCACCCCGCGTTCACACCAGGCTGACCTGGAGCCACTGGCAGACTCAAGGCTAAAGCCTAAGAACTCGGTCCGGGGACGGGGTCAGGTGGGGGCTGCCCAGAGGAGGGGTGCCCTTGGCTCTGGGATTGGAGGAGGAGACTTGGCTTCTGGGGCGTAGGGGTGACCCAGTGCAGAAATTGCTGTGAAACTCAGGACCATCCGGCCAGCCCACAGGCCTGCGCTTGGCTCTGTACCCCCAGATGTAAACACGTGTCCACAATGAGACGTGTTCAGGAATCTTCCCAGGCCTTTGAGCCTGAGAGCAGGAACTTGGAAGCCACCCAAGCATCCATCAATAGGAGTGCGATTAAACACATGAAGGCCACCTCTAGGGTGCCATGCTGCTCGGAAACCGAAGGCCTGGGCTCCGGTGCGCACACAGGGAGGAGGGGCGCTCAACCGTGAGACGCTCCTGGGGCCCTCCGCACTACCCAATCTGAGCCCAAGAGCAAGCAACACCCATCGGAGCGCGAGGTCAGCACCGTGGCCACCTCACTCCCCGGCTCCAGGTCGCAGCAGCTACCAGTCTGTGCTCTGCTTTGGCGAAAGCCATCCCACACCTGTGCCTTTTAAATTGATGTAATTAAGTTTAAAATTAATTAAAATACAAGAAACGTAAAGTTCAGTCTTTCAGTGGCACCAGCCATGCTTCACCTGTGGCCCTGTGGCTCCCCTGAATGGGACAGTTAGACAGGGAATGTGCCTGTCGTCAGGGAAGCTGTGCCCGGCCAGCCTGGCCGAAGTGCTCTGCGTGTGCCCGGGATGCTGGTTACCTGAGTGCTTCACGTCAGAATGAACTAAGGATGGAGGGGCTTCCATTTTGCTGTACAAAATACACCTCAATTGGAAGGAATCGCCAGGTCCTTTTGGGTACCGGTGGAGGTGGGTGGAGGGAGAGGGTTCCTCACAGTTACGACCACCTGTCAATGTGTCCACTGGATCCAACCAGTCTGGCCTCTGGACGGGACTCCCAGCGTTCAGCGTCCCCAGCACGTCCACACCCTGGAGGCCTGGCCTCCCTCTTCCTGGCCACGCTCCCTCCTGCCTGGCCCTCATCTGAGTGCATAACCTCGCACCAGACCCCATGGGCATCCCCAGCCCCCACCCAAGGTGCTTGCAGAGTGAGCTCCCCGCTCCCTCCCTCATTCATTCACTACACGCTCGCTCACTC